AATGGAGTCGCTTGGAGTTATTCCCCCTGCTGATGAACCTACAGACTATTGTGCTGGTTTAGTCGTAGTTCCTATAACAAACAATACCGTAAGGATATGTGTAGATCTGACTCAGCTCAACAAATCGGTAAGGAGAGAGAATCACCAGCTACCGTGTAATGAGGAAACACTCCACAGACTTACAGGCGCGAAAGTGTTTTCAAAACTAGACGCCAATAGCGGATTTTGGCAAGTCCCTCTGGCTCAGTCGTCGCGGTTATTAACCAGGTTCATCACACCATTCGGGCGCTATTGTTTCAACCGACTTCCATTTGGAATATCATCGGCGCCAGAATATTTCCAGAAAAGGATGGAGACTCTACTCACTGGGATACCCGGTGTTCTCTGCCAGATGGATGACGTGTTAATTTTCGGCCCGACGCAAGACGTACATGACGCGAGACTCGACCGTGTACTTCAGTGTTTTGAAAAGGCGGGCTTAACCCTCAACGAAGAGAAGTGCGAATTCTCTAAAGATCAAATCACTTTCGTCGGTCACGTGATTGACGCGTTCGGTGTGCGACCCGACCCTAGGAAGGTCGAGGCAATCGTTAAATCTCCGGCCCCTACCAACGAACCAGAAGTGCGTAGAATCTTAGGGATGGTAAACCAATTAGGCAGGTTTACACCAAACCTCGCACAACACAGTCAACCTATTCGGGAACTGTTACATAAGGACAGTGTGTGGACCTGGGACGATCCACAAATTCAGGCATTTGCCAAGATCAAAGAGGAACTCAGCTTTGAAACCGTGTTAGCGTTGTATGACCCGAAAGCGCCTACCAGAGTATCAGCAGATGCATCATCGTTCGGATTAGGCGCAGTACTTCTCCAATTCCCTTAAAGGTGAGGACAAGTGGAAACCGGTTGCGTACGCGTCGAGAGCGATGAGCGGTACAGAACAACGATACGCGCAAGTAGAAAAGGAAGCGCTCGCAAAAGTTTGCGGACTTTCTGATCGGTATTAAGTTCAGCATAACAGCGAAACTGACCATAAACCCCTTGTATCGCTGCTTGGAGTAAAAGCAATATCGGAACTGCCTCCGAGGAACCAACGCTTTAGAATGCGACTAATGCGTTACGAGTATGATATCGGACACGTACCGGGAAAATCCCTTCACACGGCCGATGCTCTGTCGAGAGCACCCCTCTGTCAGGTTACAAAGGAGGAAGAGGAATTCCAGTCAACAGTGGAGGCCTATGTAGATTCTGTAATGGAAAGCCTTCCTGCGACTGAGACACGTCTGGACGACATTCGCAGATGTATTCACGACGACAGTGTACTGAGCATAATCGTGGAATATTGTCTAAGCGGTTGGCCAGGGTTCGAAAACCCAGCCATCAATATCGCGACGCGACCTTATTGGCAAATACGCGAGGAACTGACCGTATGTCAAGGATTACTAATGCGCGGAACACGACTGATAATACCGACGACGCTTAGAGCAGAACTTCTCCAAAAGATTCACGAGGGCCATCAAGGTATTGTAAAGTGTCGTGAACGAGCACGAAACTCAATCTGGTGGCCAGGGATAAATCGTGAGATTGAGAACTTGGTGACAAACTGCACAGTGTGTATCAAACACAGATCGGATCATGCCGAGCCCTTAAGGCCAACAGAATTTCCAGAGCGACCGTGGCAAATGGTCGGCTCGGATCTCTTTCACTTAAAGGACGCGAACTACTTACTTGTCGTGGATTACTTCTCGAGATAT